GTAATTACCCACCTTCCTCCCATAGTTCACAGTTCAAAAGGCTCTTATCAATGAAATCCATCCTGTTGCTCTGCAGAGGAGGTCCCATGTAGAAAACCCAGAAGAGGAACATAGCCCTGTAAACACTGCTTCTCTCTCACAGGTTATCAGTCAGAACAAAGTTTGCTTATTTCAAGCTGAGGCGGCAGACAGTAAACAGCGGGACGCTTATACGTGTGAACATGTTTTCTATTGCAACACTTGAGAGCCACAAGCTTCCTTCTCAGGGTGCATTTTGAAAGCCCAATTCAACCTAAACCAGCTCTCTCCAGAGACTCAAGGTAAGCCCATACTGCAGTGCATTGTATTTCAACTGAACTAAATCAGATGTAGCTTTAGGAAGAGATTCTAATGTCTTGTATTTAAACCTTAAGGGAGAAAAATGTTGCTTTTGTTTGCAAATACAGTCGCAGGTCTGTGTGTGGGAATGAGAACAAAGAGAACGTCGCAGTCCTAATGTAAACTTAGGGAGGAAGCGAGCATTGAAAAATCACTTAAAGGAGGACTTAAGCCCCTCTGCTGTGCACTTTAGTGTCTGAATTCAAACAGGAGTCAATCCAGGGCCGGCCTTTGGGAAAATGGTGCTCTGAGTGAACTTGTATTTTGATACACCTGCCCCCACCCCAAGTATGATGATGTCCCCCCTATTTCCCTTGGTCCCCATGGGCTCCATAACCCCTGCACCCCCATCCTGTTCTCCCTTTGCCATTAACTCCTGCTCCCTCCTACACCCTAACTCCTGCACTTTGTCCCTGTGCTCCAGCCCCTTCACCCCAACACCTGCAGTGTCACCTTCACCCCCACCCCTGCATTTCCCTCCCTCCTGAGCCTCCAAATCCACCCTGCACTGCCAATGTGCCTACCACACCACTTCCCTGCTCAGTGCCCCCATCCCCTTACGCCCAGTGGCCCCTCTCCCAGAGACCTCCTTCGCAGATTCCTGTGCCCAGCACCCCCCCACCCACAGCTGTCCCTACACTCCCCCCCCACACACAACTGCCCGGTGCCCCATATGCCAGAGGACATTCTGCACCAAAACATTAAAAATTCAGTGCTCAGTATTTTGAAAGTCTATAAAATTCTGTAAATTGTATTTGTCTATAAATAATGTAGAGGCTCCAGCTTGGCAGTGGCCAGCATAGGCTGCTGGAAGCACAGAGGTGAGAGATCACACTGCTGCCTACCCCTCCTCTTCCCTCTCCTGCTAGGGTAGGGATGTGGCAGTGAGACTGCTCTGTGTGCATGTCAGAAGGCCACAGGGAAGTGTTTTACTGAATGGCTGGGATGTCAGCCATGATCCAAAATCCAACTGAATGACAAAAAAGAAATAGCCTCAAAAGTATGTCTGTAATAGTCCATATTTTCAAAAACACGGAGTTCTGTGGCACCTTAAGGCACATCTACACAGCACGGCTAAACTGATAATAAGCTACTCAATTTGAGCCATGCTAATAGAGTAGCTTAGTTGAAATAGCTTATTTTGACTTTTGGTGCTATCTACACAGCAGTTATTTTGAGAGAGAGCACTTTTCCTTTGACTTCCCTTATTCCTCGTACAATGAGGGTTACAGGAGTCGGAGTAAGCAGTCCTCCAGCTCGACAATATTTTGACATTATGTCAAAATAACTGCCTGTGTGTAGAGACTGACTATGCTATTTCGGAATAACGTTAGTTATTTCAAAATAACTCTGCTGTGTAGACATAGCCTTAGAGACTCAGGGTATGTCTACACTAGCCCCCTAGATCAATCTAGGGAGGCTAATGAGGGTGACCGAAATTGCAAATGAAGCACAGGATTTAAATATCCCGCGCTTGATTTGTTTGTTCTGGCTGGTCGCCACTTTTAGAGATTGACTAGCCTGAAGTAACTGCCCGCATCTACACGCAGCAGTGAAACGGGATTCCAAAATAAAGGTTTACCAGAATTAGCTGGTAAACCTCATTGCAGGAGGATGTGCAACTTGTGAGGTGTAACAGTTAACTCGAACTAAGGACTTAACAGTTAACTCGAACTAAGGACTTAGTTCGAGTTAACGTTTGACTGCCGCGTGTAGCCACAGGCAGTTAGTTTGGACTAGGGGAATTTAAAAATGGCACCCCGACGGGAAGATGCAATTAAAGCCTGAGATATTTAAATCGCAGGCTTCATTTGCAACTTTAAATGACTACATCAGCCTCCCTAGTTCGAATTAGGGGGCTAGTGTTTTAAACCCTAAGGTGCCATGGGAGTCCTCATTTTGTAAAAAAGCAATAGCTGATCCCAGTGGCTGAGTCCAGCCCTCTTCCAGTCCCTTGGCTGCCACGGCTCTGGGACGTCACCTCCCAAATGGCCTTTCATTTCCCTCTAAGCCTGAAAAACAGAGAGGTGCTTGGGATGAGCAGGTGACTAAGAAAAGGAATTCTATTCAGGCACCCCCCTTTTTTCTGCCCTGATTTAGATATGGCCAAAGCTAATTCTGCATCCTGGGCTGCTGCTTTTCGGCTCCAGGTACATCCCCCGCCCTTTCTGTTTTAGAATCAGTTTCCTGTTGACACAGGCGTATTGTTAATCATTGAACCTTCTTTTACTTTCCTTTAACTTTCCCTCCTCCCCAGTCAGGTAGTGTCTGTGCCTCTCCCCCCTCCCAGCCCACGTCTACTGCGGATCTCTGCTGGGGAAGGGAGAGAGGAAAAAATCCAATGAGGATCTTTAAAATTTCTGGTCTTAAAACTTCAGAGCAGATTAAGGAAGAGTGAAAAGGAGACTGGGAGACTGCAGGGAACTGCCAGCAGGTCAGGGCAGGTGGGGATTAGAGGGGAGAAGTGCAGGTGCACTGTGGGGCAGCTTAGAACAGCTGCTGTCCCCCAAGGACACCAGCCTGCTACCAGGAGGGCCTAGTTTGTTGGCTGCTCACTCACTGAGCCAGACAATGCACTCCCCTCCCATACACACACATATACACACACACACACTCTCTCTCTCTCCCCTGGCTGGCCTCTCCTTCCCAGCCATCCTCAGCCCAGTTCCTCCTCCTCCTCCTTCCTGAAGTCCCGTGCCCGGCTGTGCTCCCAGACCTCTGCGCCCCTCCTCTCTTCTGCCCAGCCTGGCTCCCCCAGCTCACTCTCAGGCTGCAAACTTTTGCTTCTGGCCCCATTGGGGCCCTGTTCCTGCCAGAGACAGAGCAGCACCAGCAGAGAGGGACTCATTCCATGCAACTCTGGGCTGAGGGAGGGGGGCAGGATGTAGCTGGAATCCTCAGCTGGCCGGCTGGGGAGTGAGTGGGCGGAGGAGAGGGAGCAGAGAGCAGTCTGCAGGAGCAGCATGGGGAAGCGGCCAGAGAGGAGTCTATGCAGCAGCCAGTGAGGGGAATCCTGAGCCCTGTGTGGCATCCCCTGGCCATGGTGCCCTGAGCATGCACCCAGTTTGGCCAATGGCTCCCCTAAGCAATTGGGATTTTTGATAATTTTCCCCCTAAACCCTTTAATAACGTGTTCGGGGGATTAAAAAGTTTCAAGCAGTAGCCAAGTTAGTCTGCACAGGATAAACTTTAAAAACTACAAATGGTCTGGTAACACTTTATAGACTAACAAAACATGTCGATGGGATCATGAGCTTTCAAACGTTCAGGGGAAACATTTTAAAAAGCTGCATTCCAAAGTTTTGGTCCAACTTTTGTTTTCCACTCTGGATAAGGAATTGCAGACACTGCAAATGCTTTACTTGCACGCCCATTTACAGTAGGTCTCAGGCATGGGCAATACCCACATTTAAAATGAAAGGAATTTTGAAGTTTATTTCCAATTATTGATCATAACTGAAAATGTGTGCCCCAGCCCAGGCTGGCGGATAAACTCTCAGCAGCAGCAGCCCCTCTGTGACACGGGGGTTCATTCCAACTTAACCGAGGCACTCAGCTGCACCAGTGCTCATAAAGTAACTATGAGCCCATTCCCTGGGTGCTGCCGAGGCAGTAATGGCGGGACTTACCTGTCTGGGCACTGGCAGGTAGCCCTGTCAACAAACTACTCAGAGTCACACACCCCTCCGAGAGTAATATTGTGTCCTTAGTGCCTGGGTCAGCACTGTTATTCGGAACCCAACTATGCCCATGTGGCTGCTTCGTATGAAACAGCCTGAACCTGCCTCTCCCTGGTGATTCACATGACAGCTTGTCTAAAAGGCTTTGAGTGTCAGTCCAGAAATCCAGGGTGTCAGTTAACACTTTCTCCCCAGCGGTGTAAAGATTTACAGAGCTGGAGTTTCCCCTCTCTGTTGTCCCCCAGCTCTGCTCTGAAGACACCCAGCCAGCCCCTTTCCTCTGTTTTAAACCCTAGGCAGGCACCATCCCCTCCTCACTTTCCCTGTGCTTCCTATGCCTTGTGTGTTGTTCCACCTCCACTGACCGAGCCAGGTTTCTTGTAATCAATAAGCCGTTTGTTTTCTCTCCTGTTTGGTGGGGGTGAGCATCTGAGCAGCACATCGGGATTATAAAAGGGGATGGAATCTGTCCACAGTGCACCTGTGAGATGGAGGGAGAGAGCATGAGCGGGGCAGACATGTCCAGAGGGGAAGTGAAAATCAGTATTGCTTTAAAATCAACTAAAATGCAGACTCCTGCATGTGGTATTTCAGATTTTCATGGGAAAGAGGCCCTGAAAACCTCTCCTCCGCTTTCGTTTGTTGCCTCTCCACAGCTCCTTCCTCTTTGCAGCCAACAGTCCTGAGATCGTTAAATCTTCTGGACAGAGCCCATTTTGCTGCTTGCTTGGAGATCTTTTTTTATTTTTATAATTGCTGGATGTTTCCTTTATAGCTGTTCCTGCAACTTCAGGTACCGGTAGCTGCACCGGGCTGTGGCTATATGTTGCTCTCTATGCTCCACAGGGCTACATGATCCATTAATTTTTCTGAAAATCCATTTGATGATAAATACGTTATTATAGCACCTTTCATCCTAAACTGCAATGGCCTTTACAAGCAGTAACTAAGTGGCATAACGCCCGTGGCAGTTAGATGAGCACAATTGTCCCCATTTTACATGAAGAAACTGAGGCACGGAAAAACATCACTCTCATCACTAGGCTACACTTCTTCCCTCTGCATAGGAATAAGAGTTGCTATAACTTATTAACTATTAATGATGGGACTTTGCATTTGAGTTTTGCTTGCTGATACCTGGTGATGGAAAACCGAAGCGGAATCAGCGACCTGCTTCTAAGTATCCTTGAGGACCTTCCTCAGGAGGCCTTCAAAAGATTTAAAGACAAACTCTCACACACTGACTTTGAGGGGAAGGGTCCCATCCGCCGAGGTCGGCTGGAGAACGCCGACTGGACAGACACTAAGAACCTCCTGATGGAATCCTACGGTGGAGCTGCTGCAGTAGATGTAACCATAGATGTTCTCACTCAGATCAACCTCCAAGAGTCCGCTGCACAACTCAGAGCAGGAAGTGAGAAAGGTAAGAAACCCAAAGTTATCATAAAATCCAAGAATGTTCCCTGGGGCAGCAGCAAAGAGAGTAGAACAAGAAACAGGCTGATGACAAGAATGATGTTTTCAGCCCAAACTTTGTAGCTTTTAAGGGTTTTTGTTTGTTTGCTTGCTTGCTTGTTTTGCCTTTTCTACCCAAAACTCAAAATTTTCCATGGAGGGAGAGGGGGAAGGAGGGGAGGAGAGAAATAAATTCTATCCAGCTCCAATAGTCTCCCACATGTGCTGCTACCGCTCAGCTGTGGGAGGTGGAGGGGAAGAGGGTCAGGGCTTTATCTCCTCTTTGCTTCTCACTGTCACTTCAGGGTGCTGGGTTCCCCCAAAGATACATGTCCTTTGCTGCCCACAGAGCAGGTATTGCAACGACCCCTAGTTCTTGTGTAGGAATTACAAGGGTGTATGATTAGGACCAGTAATAGAGAGGTAGCCGTGTTCATCTGATCTTGCTAAAACAAAAGGAAAAACTATGTAGCACTTTAAAGACTAACAAGATGGTTTAATAGGTTATGAGCTTTCATGGGCCACACCAACCCTAATCATATGATTAGGACCAGGCCTTCTCCTTCCACATCAGCACAAACATCGGGTCCAATCTAGCTCTATTCTAGCAATAGAGTCCATGACATTGTAGTTATGGGTGAGGTGTCAATGCCATCATAAAACCCGGGATAGGATTTTCTAATGTTAGATATTGGTTAGGGACGTTAGATATTAGTTAATTGAATATTCGAGTAACCCCATGAATTCTTATCTGTTACTCGACTATTCTGTAGTCCCCAGGGCTGGGGGCACACTCCCACCCCACTCCCGAGAACCCCCTGCCACTCCACGCTGCTGTCTCTATATCAGAGGCAACAGTGGCTCCCCTCATGGACCAGTTTTCTATAGCATCACACCGCTGCCTCTGATACAGAGGCAGCAGCGGGAGGTGGCAGGAGCTCCTGTCGGGGAGATGGAGGGGGGAGGACGGAGGCGGTCTGAGCTCCTGGACCTGGCATGAGCCAGCACTGAGCCGGGCTGCCTGCCTGCCTAGCTCCTAATTTATTTTAAAGGCAGTCGCAGCAGGGGTAGGTCCTGGACCCATCACCCAGGACTGAGCTGGGCGACCAGTCAGCCTGCTAAAAAATATATTGGTGGGGAAGGTGTGATTAAGCAGTTAATCAACTACACTAATACATCCCTAGTGCATGTAAAACTTCAGGGCAGACTGGCATTGACTCTGGGTTTTTTTCCTCTCCCTCTGCAGTGTGTGGGAGCAGGTGGCTTTCCAGGATTATTGGCATGTATCTTACTCCCCTGCATTGCTGGTGTCTCAGGCACAGGAAATTAGCCTATTATGTGTCACAGGCAGGCAGCCCAATCCCACCTATAATAGTCTAATTTCCTGTGGGGCTGTAATACTTGGGTCTCATTTTGATTGTTGCATTTCATAAGCAGGTGCTGGGGAGTGTTGATCACTTGTTACATACGGGATGTCAGACTACGATATCGGATGGTTTCCCCCTAGTCTGTAGTTGTTGCAGTTAATCTCCCTTGTTAGTTTTGTCAAAGGAAAAGAAGAAAACAGCACAAGTTAAAGAAGAAACAAGAGGGAACAACAGACAATGGAATCAGGGACCATATGCAGAGACACATCATGCTAAGGATCTGCGAATTGATAATCCATCTCTGAAAGGCTCTGGTAAGACTCCACTTAGAATACTGTGTCCACTTCTGAGCCCAGTTATGCCAAAATGCTGCATATCAGATGAGGGGAACTCAGAGAAAAACAATAAATACAAATAGAGGACTGCCTTATTGACCTGTGAAGAAAAAATAAATATACTGAAATGTTCTGGCCAAAATCTTAGGGTATGTCTAGACTACATGGCTTTGTCGACAGAGAAAGTACTGCTCCAGTATGCCTCATGAAATGAGGTTTACTGGAGAGGTCGACAAAGGATTCCCTTGTCGACCGCGGCATGTCCAGACTGCCCTGCTTTGCTGCCAAACAGCTGATCAGCACAGCGCGGTGGCCATTTGCCTTCCCCCCCCTGCCACATCTGGCAGGGTCAGGGGGAGGGAGGAGTGTGTAGTGCTGTGATTTAAAGAGTCTAGACATACCCTTAGGGTATGTCAACACTGCATTCCTCCTTCAAGAGAAGAATGCAAATGCAAACAAATGAAATTGCAAATGAAGCGCAGATTTGCTTCAAGGAGCTGACAGAGGAGGTATCTGAGCCTCTAGCTATCATTTTTGGAAAATCATGGGAGACAGGAGAGATTCCAGAAGACTGGAAAAGGGCAAATACAGTGCCCATTTATAAAAAGGGAAATAAGAACAACCCAGGAAACTACAGACCAGTTAGTTTAACTTCTGTGCCAGGGAAGATAATGGAGCAAGTAATTAAGGAAATCATCCGTAAACTCTTGGACGGTGGAAAGGTGATAGGGAATAGCCAGCATGGATTTGTAAAGAACAAATCATGTCAAACTGGAAAAGGGCAAATACAGTGCCCATTTATAAAAAGGGAAATAAGAACAACCCAGGAAACTACAGACCAGTTAGTTTAACTTCTGTGCCAGGGAAGATAATGGAGCAAGTAATTAAGGAAATCATCCGTAAACTCTTGGACGGTGGAAAGGTGATAGGGAATAGCCAGCATGGATTTGTAAAGAACAAATCATGTCAAACCAATCTGATAGCTTTCTTTAGTAGGATAACGAGTCTTGTGGATAAGGGAGAAGCAGTGGATGTGGTATACCTAGACTTCAATAAGGCGTGTAATACGGTCTCGCATGATATTCTTATCAATAAACTAGGTAAATACAACTTAGATGGGGCTACTATAAGGTGGGTACATAACTGGCTGGATAACC